TTTTTTTGAAAAGTACTTTAAACTGTATAAATAATGTAAAATTAATTTGATTTAAACTGCCAATCATACGAATGTCTACCTATGAGTTAACTAATGTAGCCTGTGATGTAGATTAAAGTCAAATTTGCTGTATATTAAAATTTCGATTTTAAGTGTATTTATTATAGAACATTTTGTTAAAAAAGAATTCATAATAATCTATACTATTAAAATTTTAAACATTTGCTGTAACTACCATAGGATATAATTTATAACTTATGTTGCAAAATCCAACAAGTATCATTGAATTATGCTATTAATGATATTTTATTTTATTAGAATCAGATTATTTACAAGAGCTATTACATGTGAAAATTAAACGTTTATCAAATTATCCTCCAAAATGTACCAGGGATGTATATCAAAATTGGTTTGATCTTTTTGGATCTTCAAAAATCGAAAATGGCAACATTGTATCATTACAAGCTTTATGTAATAGTTTAGAAAGTATTTCATTCAAAAATAGAGAAATTACAGTAACAAGATACCAAACTGGAAAATTACGAAAACAAAAAGTCTTAAAAACTTATAAGCTTAAGAATTACTTAAAAACTTCTGATCTTTTAGATGAAATAAGGGTAAATAAATAAATAAAATAACAATTGTAAAAATATCAATTATTTATATTCTTATAATTTTAGTGTAAAGAAAATCAAATACAAAATTTAAGAGATGTTTTGGAAATTTCTAATTATGGCCATACAATGGTATTTTAAAGTTTTAAAGCTTAAAAAAGCTTCTTTTTTTTTTTACTAAAATTTTTTTTTTTATAACATTATTAGAAAATTCCTATTAATAATAAATTGAACATTTTTGAAAATTCCAATCAACAACCCTTTGTACAAACACAAACTCATAATTATTGTTTACATTCTCTCAAACAAGTGTTCAAAGAGCACACCGATTATTTAGTAAATGGTATTAAATTTTCACTAAGTATTTTATTGTAAAATTTGATAATAATTAATGCTTTACTACATTAAAGAACAACAACAAAAACTCTTTAACAAAAAAGTATTAAGATGAGTCTTTAACAAACTTAATAGTATTAAAATCTTATTTACTGTATAGTTCCAAAATTAAGCACCCTTTTTTTGTTATAAGAGGTGTTTATTTTCAGATATAATTTTAAGAATAAATAATATAGAATTTTTGTACTAAGTAACTTGCCTTCTGTTTCTAAGTAAAACTGTTCTCCATGTCAAGATGATTCTAACACCAGTAAAATCATAAAAATTTGCCCAGTAGAACTTTCACAATTCTCTTCAAAATTTGGGTGATATTTGTTTACGTTTGCTTTACATGATCTGTATACTCGTAAACAAAAGTTGCATGAACTTTGAAGAATAATTGTGAGAGTTCTACTGAACCAATTTTGATGATTTTACTGCCATTAAAATCATCCTGACTTGGCGAATAACTTGAATTAGAAACATAAAGTAGGCTTGCTTGGTAAAAAATCAGTTATGGTTATACATAGGGGGTGCTTATTTTTGGATATTATATAAAATTTGATGGTGCTTAATTTCAGGGTGCTTAATTTCGGAACTATACAGTACTTAAAATTAAAGAAGGATATTTGCTAATCTATTATTGACAATTCTAAAATGAGAGTGCATTAAATAAGATTTTGAATAAATTTCCTGACAAAGGCCTAGAAAAACTCTAGATTTATATAAATTCAAAATTAGAAGGATTTTTTGGACATGATATAGTTTTAAAAATAAAAGAAGATAAAAAATTAAAAATGTATTTAAAATTAATAAATGAATTGCAAAATTATCCCTTTCTAAATTCTTTTAAGGAGCTTATTCTACTTTGGAAAAATAAAGTGGAAAAGACATTTGGCCACAACAAAATTATTCTGGTCACTAAAGAGACCAATAGAAATCATAGTTACAATGATAAAGAGAACAATATAATTGAGTTTAGCAAAATGTATAGTTATGATAATAGTGAAGATGTTAATAAGACCGATAGAAATCAGGATATAATTAAGATCAACGAATTTGATAATTACTTAACTTCAATAAAGCAAGACCTTATCAAATGGAATAGCAAATTTAAAGAAACAAATGATTAGAAGAAAAAGTTACAATGCTTTGTTGATCTTATCACAATTTGTGGCTTTTAGGAGTTAATTCTCTAAGAAGAGATATGTCACAAAAAAGTTGTGAAAATAGGTTTCTTTTTATATTTGTTCTTACACAGGTATAAGTGATAGAATTAAAAGAAAGAGGTAGAATTCACTTTGTCTTTTAGATGCCATATTAATATATAGAATGGTAACTTTTAATTCACTTATTTCAAAATGGTATATGCTAATTTATTTTATAAAATATTAGATGTGAGTGTTGAAATTTTTACAAAGAAATTACAAATAAGAAAAATGATTACAACCTATTATCATTTATTTGATATAATAAAAATTTTAATTTATTTGAATAATAAAACAATTTAATGAATTTGTAATAAAAAAAACATATATTATGATATATTTTAATGGTATTTAAAAAACTACATAATTTTTTTTTTGATATACAGTATAATTAATAAAATAAATATAAGCTTCAAAAGTTATTATTTTATTTTGAATTGTAAATTTGGTATCCAGATATTAAACCTGATTTTAGATTCAATTTCTGGATATACAACCTAAAATCTAAATCAGTTAAACTGGGAATTGGATATTTTAAGAATTTTGTAGTATAAGACTTGAAAGGCTTCTACCTTGTTTACCTAATCACTTACCTTAGCTCTAACCAACAAGTATTAGTTTAGAAATGAAAATTGTTTTTCTTACAAAAACATAATCATAGCTAGGGTTATTAATTATATATTCTATAAATATCATCTACTTTATTTTCTTTGATAGTAAAATGCAATTGAATTAATTTATCTTTTAATTCTTCGATCTTTGGCTATTATGCAATAAAGTATTAGAGTATGCAATATACTATATAAATCAAAACTATATAGTTTAATATTGACCAAACTACTAGTTAATTAAAATTTTGCTAATTAATGATCAAAAGCCTTTGGTTAAACTAGTTTAGTCAAATTGGTCAAAAAGTTTAATTATTAATATAATATATATATAAATATTTAACTTTTTAATAATTTATCTCCTGCAAATTCCTAATATAAAATTTATTTAAAATTTATCCAACACAAAATATCTATTTATACAAAATTATACTATACTAATCTAACTTAACTTTCTAAATAAACTTGTCTAACACACCAAAATATATATAATATTCAAATTTTAAGTTTTTAGCTTTTATATTTGTGGAGTAAAGTTTTAAAATATTTTTTAGACAAAAAATTTAAACTTTTACCATTTGCTCTTTGACCTGATTCTAAACCTCTACTCTATATTATTAAAAGTTATTCTATATACTTTTCTCATTATAACAAACTATATTTCATTTTTGTAACATTAAAATTGACAAGTTACTTTTAAAATATTTTAACTCTCTTTTACTTATTTTTACAACTTTTTTTGTCTTTTTTTGTACTTTTCACTATATATGATTTTTGTATAACATCTGACCACTTCCAAATTTATCCAAATTAACTTTATATTACAAAAATATTAATTTTCCTTTTATATTTTTATTCAAACAATTAATTTTCCACAAATTTGCTAATTATTATAAAAAAGTTTACTATTTATATAAAAAACTTTTTTTAGCTAACTTTACTACCTCAATACCCCAAATTTTCTGTACATGATTTTTACACAATCTGCACCCTAAAATTACAAAAAATTGAACATTTATAACTTATATTTTCATCTATATTTTTATATTTATCTACTATTTTATATATAGTAACAATTATATCTATTATTATTACAAAATCTTTAAAATTTAATAACTTTTGATATATCTAACCAATTTAGACAATTTAACTACCAAAATGTTGGCCTCTACAAGATGCTTCTAATAAATTTAAAATTATCTGATTCTGATTACATGATCAAAAATGCTATTAAGTTTTATTTTCAAACTATCTATACTTTTTTATTAAGTTTTTTTTTCTTTTTTCTTTTTACTTTTAATATTTATACTCTAAACTAACTATGGTTCAACAAAAATTTTCTCACTATAAGCTTTCTAGTAATATGCTTGACTGGTTTTATACATTTCTAATTAACTCAAAAGCCCAAAATTTAACACAATTCTCAACTTCTCTTGAAATTAATATTTTAAATTTTATTAAACCTTTTCTCCAAAACTTTTACCCTGGACATGTAACTTATACTTCTACTATTTCTCAACAACCTATTTGTAATGGCTTTAATAATCTATTACAAAACATGGTTTTACAAAAACCACAATTTCTTTTTGATATTATTTATCAAAATACCTCTAATACACCCTTTTTTAATCCTAATATTTTATCTGAATTATTACTTTTTACTTTTAAAAATATTTTTTCCAACTTTACTACTGTTCTCTTTACAAGTTTAAACTATAAAAAAGTCTCTCAATGTGCTTACATTGCAATTAATCTTGCTTGTTTATATTTCTTTCTTTATAATAAATATTAAACTATTAACTATACTTAATCCTATCTTAAACCTATTCGACTTAGTTTACATTTTGATACTATTTACTATAAATCTAACTCTATATCACTAGAAATCAAACATGATTCTAAATATAATATTTATATTATCTTTAACATTAATCTACAAAATTTAGCTTATCTCAAGCAGTGTTAGAGATCTAATGTTCTCAGTGTTCTCAAGAACATTAAAATATTTTTGAGAACACAATTTTTGAAAATTAGTTCTCATTTGAGAACATAAAATTTGTAAATTGTATTATATCTAAAAACTTTTGAGAACATTAAAAATCTTTTTGAGAACCTAAAATTTTAAATTTATGTTCTCAGAGAACAAAAAAAAAATTTCAGATCTCTAGCACTGATCTCAAGTCAAAGATATATATTGTAAATCTTTTTATATCAAATTTGTTTTTTTCTTTATTGCTTTTAGATTTTTTATAACTAGATAAATATTGCTAAAATATTTTACTTGTTTAAATATATTAATAGTAAAAGTTTAAATTATCTTTTATAATCATATTTAATATTTAGCTTATCTCAAAAGTAATAATAAGAAAAATTATACTTATGAAAGTTTAGAATATATTTGAACTAAGAATAAAGATTGTAATAAAAGAGATACTATATTTAATAAAATTATTTAGAGAGATTCAATTTCTTTATTTAAATTGAATAATTTTATATTTATTGAATTTTTATTATTTTATTTGTAGATTTTTTAAAATTAATAACTTATTGCTTATAGTAATATATTTTTAAGCAAAAGTATTTATTATAGCTATTTTTTTTTTATATTGGTATTAAGGTGACCTCTTTGGCCAGAGAACATTTTATTAGATAGTTTGTTTTTCAATTACAGTAATAGTACATCAAACCATATATGAACCTTTTGGGTGCCTAATTTAAGTAGTCCATCTAAAGGTTTTACACTATCTGCTATATCTGTACCCAGCTAGGGGGTACCCATTTAAACCCTCTAACTATAACCTACTTCCAAACCAATAGATACTACCTAATCTGAAGCATAGCTAACTATATATATGTAGTTCACACTTGCTCAATCTGATTTTGCATCTACCTTAGAACTTACTAACCCCAATGAGGCTAATCTATCCACGAAGTAAACCTAATAGAGTAGTTTATGTTCCACACATGCTTTTACCCGCATATTCAGTAATTTTTTCCTAACTAGTACATGTTGTGCTACTACCACTAAGTTTATGTCTCAAGCCAACTTTTGGGATACTGCTATAATCTGATCTGTATTTCAAGCCCAACCTTCCTAATTAGTTGCCAATTACTTACTCCTGCTCTTATATAGTTTACAACAACCCTGGTACTCACATTCAAACTGCCTCCTTATCCAGATTCTTTATCAGTCCATCCCTTACTTCCAGTGGCCAACTCGGATAAGTTAGTCTGCTCAGGCTTTAGATACCTGAAGGACACCCTCTTCTTGGTTCATACTTTCATAGCATATGTTCTTTTCCTTCAGTGTGACAACCTAGCAGTTCAGCTGATATATCTTCTGCCAATGGACCTGGTTACTCAGCTCTTTGATCTCAAACCCTAATTCAAATTCAGCCCTCCTGTAGTACCATTAAAAATTACTGTTATCTTCAAATTCAGGACTTTTCAAACGGGTTTTCAGTTATGCCAGTTCCTCAGATTTATTGTGCTAAAGCTCCCATTACTAGATAGTGTAACTGAAGTTACAGATTTAGTTTTAGATCCAACTGATAAGCATAGCCATTAACCAAACACAGGTCTATTTTTCAAATATCATCACCAGTAGGATTTGAACTCTAGATCTGCCACTTAGAGAGGGTGATAACTAAACCACTACACTAAGTTGCCACATCTCTTATTATAACTATTTTGTTCTTAAGCTTATATATTTTGTAATAATTATTTTTTTATTTTTTATTTTTTTTAAATCTTTGACAGTCTTGCCAGTGCTCAATTTATTGTAACTATATTCAGGTGAGAGCTAAGCTCTCTTAAACAATACATGTATCATTCATAACCACAAACAGGAAGTTTCATGATTGTGAGCCTAATATTATCCGGCTGCGATAAATGTGCTCATATGTGACTTGTTGCACCAACCTGTATACAAGTTAGATAAACTTTGTCAGCTTGTTAAAGCTTTTCTCTTCATATCTCCTTTCTTTACCAAAAGCAAAAGAAAGTGATGATCTTATACAAAACCACTAATACTACCAAGAAAACAAAACAAAAACCTAATTTAAAAAAAACAAATAGAATGAAGGGGTATTTTTAAAGGAAAAAAAAGAGGGTACAATGAGATGTAAAAAAAAGAAACACAAAGAGAAAAGCCTGAGGGCTGACAAAGGGAGAACTACCTCTATAAAGAAATAGCACAGGGGAAACTAGAGAAAAAACAAAATAAGAAATATACTATTATAACCTGTGTCAGGTTTAAGAAAAAATTTTATAACAACTACAACATTTGTATATCTTGATTACAATGTAAGAACTTTA